TATGATTTTGTCGAAACCCAAATTGATTTAATAACTATGATTCCATTTCAAGTTTAATAATTCGTTTATGAATCTCTATTCATCACGCCTTGGCCAAGGACTTTAAATTACTAACTATGAAACACATAGGAAATTCACTTATCTTCATAAGTGTCGAATCCTTTGTTGGCCACTGACAAACTTCCATACATATTAATATAATACCCAAAATATCCCTTTATACGATTGTGCTAGCAATCAAAAGGATAAATCAAAGTAAAATATAATATGCACAAAGTTACCATCGTGCCTCAAGTCTAAGGATTAATCATGTACTATTGTAATATGGAAATTCTTATTCGACATGATAAACTTTCATTAAGAATTTTCATACGGTCATGTTCAGTGAACTTGTTCTCTAACAAACACCCACATATATGTATTTGCGTCTCACGCTAATGTTGATGGAATGCAACATTCTTATCTAATAAGCATACATACTATGTGCAAGTCTTTTCCGGATTTATTCAATATCCCATCTCGAAACATCCAACGACTTGGAACTGTATTTAAGATCACAGCTTTCAAGATATGTTCCATGATCACCATCTCTATGCGCAACCATATCTTATAGCTATAAGTTGTAACACCCCACCTTACTAGATAAATCAGAGTTGCGCAATTATTCGCAAAGTCTTTGAAAACTAAAACATTTTTACTTTGCGAAACTGATTTGGGGTGCTACCGTGAAAACAAAATCGTTACTTAATTTAGAAAACCGTTGTTTTAATTTAATAAGAACGTCCGGTTACTGAAAAACTGTGTTTTCTGAAAAGTTCGTCAAAATACGATAAGTTCGTCAAAATATATCAAAACATCATCATAAGTCATCAAAAGTCAAGCGGAAGCGTAAATCATAGTTATACAGTCCAAAACATATATAAATGTCCTGAAAGTCCCGAGATGCTCCGTCACGTCACGCTCCCTGGCCGACATCCTGACCTGAAAAATAGGATAAAACTGGGGAGTGAGCACTAAGACACTGTGCTCCTTGGAAACTCATACTAATGTAAAACATCGTAAATAATAACAATATCATGAACTAAG